AACTGCCAGTGAGCCGAGGTTTTGTAATGTCCCCAAGGGCCACAGTGAGCTTGTCACTGACTTCTCTGTTTCCAGGCACCGAGCAAAGTGTGAAGCTGCCATCTAGCCAGCAAAGGAAGCCTGCCTGTCCAGATTTCCCCTTGCCTAAAGCACACTGAAAGTGCCAGCCCAGCCAGCTGTACGCCTCTCTTTCCTGGTTCTCACATCTGGAAAGCAGTGACACAGATGCTTTGCAGGCCAGCCAAGTTTGAAGTGGCTGCACTGACTGAAAAATAACCTTCCAAGCTGTCCAAAAGCCTCTGAAACCATCAGACTAACTGCCCAGACTATCTTAATCCTAATTTTCTCGAGTTTTGAGAGACCCAAAGGATGATCATAGATATTTACAGTCTCCCTTGTGCAATTCAGGAGCAGAGCTGACTACGAACCAGCTAACTTCCCCTCCGTTTGACTGTTGCTTCCCATGTACCATTGCATGGAATTCTGTTTCTGCCAGTAAAGGCAGAAAACTCCTCCCATATAATATAGCCCAGTGTTATATTTTATTACTTCTCATCATGCCCTTATTATTTGATCAGCTTTGAATTGATCACATCTAGTTTTAGGCACCTAAACCTTAACTGCCATGTCAATGGGTCTCAGCTTCTCCCTACAATTCTTGACAATATTTAGACATGTGCAGATAGGGTTTTATATCTCTGTATTCAAATGCTTATCTTAAAATGCATCAAACTGCACTTAGGAGGTGGTTATTCTATCAGGGAAGATCACTAATTTAAAACAGTTGCAAAAATTTTAAGGGACAACACTGGAAAACAAGAATCCAGCTCTGGTTATGCATTGAAGAGCAAACAGAAAAGCAGCTGAAACTGTGCACTCCGCTATGCAGCCAGACAAAAAGAGCAGTTCACTGACAACTTCTGGTTCCTAATCTGCCAATTGGTTGCTGATGCAGCTTTGAGGAAAATTAGTAGTTTTATGCAATGTTCCTGAGAGAAAACTAATAAGCAGCAAGAGTTACAGAAGTGGAAATTTGCATTGCTTGATAGTAATTGTAGGCAGGAGTTACTTGATTGATTTCAGAGCTTCAGAAGGTACAGGGAGAGGTAGTAGACTATCGTTTTCTATGCTGTGTAAATCTTCAAACATGGCTGAAATGTAGTCACTGACTTTTTTCACGTAAGGAAATCTTTAAGAAATCGTTTAAAGTTTACAAAATATATTACTGCATAAATATATCTCAACACATAAAGAGCTACAGAAATTTCTGGAGCGTATCTTTTTCTCTTAAATTTAGTTTACTTACTGAGTACCTATCTAACTGTCCTGAGAGATTACTATGGCTTGTTTGAACCACATCTGAGAGCACAGACATTGCCCTTTTAGAACAGAGCAGCGTTGTTTGCAATTCCAAGCTCAAGTAATCAGTTTCAGTCACCTCCAATGGAGACAGGAAAAATCTAAATCTAGTCAGGTACTGAAACACTGGACCACAAAGGAAAATGAGGTGATTTTTCTTACCTTAACACCTCTTAATTAGGGCTAAACTTATCTCTGTTGCAGTCTCACTGGTTTCCCTCTGCCAAACCACACAAGACATGAACTTTTGGTGGTGCTATAGCTTCCACAGATTTGTGAATGTTTTTATTCTGACAGCTCCACAAGCCCAATGCAAACCTGACTAGCCTTACAAGAAAATGAAATAATTTAATGGGAATGATGTAATGCTGTGTGTGTTCAGAATCTTACATGCCAGTGTCCTGCAAAAGCCTTTCCTCCCCAGAAAGAAATTATAGATGTTGAAGTCTGCTGCAAACCACCCACACACATTCAGCCTTTTTCTTCTCCCCCTCATGGACTTGTCAACAAATTGGATCAGAGAATACTCCATGTGTTCTTTGCTTCAGACAAAAACTGTCTGCATTATCAATATGCATCTGAAAAGTAGAGGACACTTCAAGCAGAAAAGCAAAGAACTTCTAAGGCCAAGTGTTTGTGCATTGCTTTAGGGTTATTTTTACCTATAAAATAACATGGTAAATGTGGTTTCTTTAATGTGTTTTACTCCAACTTCATTCACCTATAGACATCTGTGTTATATGGCAAAGCAAAATCAGGATGAGGAAGTGGAACAAACTCATTCATGTAAGCCTTTTTTTTTTAAGCAGAAGAAAGGAAATACTTATATTTTTTCTTAGTATTAGAGCCAAGAGTTAAAAAAAAAAAAAAAGAAAGAAAGAAAGAAAAGAAAACACAACACCATACAAATGTTGAAATAAAAACTGTGATGTTTATAATGAATAGTAACTATTGAATGAAAGCAAAAATAGAAGAGAGCAATGTTTAAAACTTCTGCTTGTTCTTATTATAGAAGATGACTACACAAAGCAAACCTAAAGAGTGGGATAGGATTTCACATTTTATTGGCATTTGGGGAAACTTTATACTCTGTCTCTGGAAAATCAGAAAGGGAAGTGGTTGCAAGGAATCCACATAATAATGTATGGGAAAGCCAGTTAGAATTTACAAGGGAGTGGACTGTGCTGGTAAATCAAAAGTTTGCCAGATCACATGGTTCACAATTAATAATAGTGGGGTGTTCCACCAGCAAGCAGTTTCTCCATTTTCTTTTCCTTTATTGCCATTTTATTCCCACTAAGCCACTAAATTATTTTACTTAACCATTGGTGCAAAATATGTGTTATTAGTAAAAACATATCAGGTATATAATGAGAAGCAAATAAGCCTATTGCAGTTTCGTAATAAGCCGGGAAAGTTTCAAATTGTAGGATGTTTTGTTTTGTTTTGTTTTCTTGCTAGGAAATAAGATTTTATGGCCAAGTGTTATGAGAAACAACTATTCACAAGAATCAGAGTATGAACACTCAGTTTGGAGGTTCATTTTTACCCATATAGTACAACCTTACGTCTGTGTTCTTGACTTGGTGCCAGTTCTCCAGGTATAGGAAAAGGATGTTTAGGGATAGCTACTGACAGAATTTAACTAACAGATTAAGTCTGGGAATATTTTTGGTTTCTTTACAGAATGCCAAATATCGCCATATGTTGCCCTTGTATGTGACCATATGACTCTTGAGGAACTAACTAAGCAGTACCATTAAACGAAGCACATTGCTTTATAAAGTGTAAAGGAATGCCAGCTGCCTATGTTACACAAAGCCTTTAGCAGTAAGGACTCGTATACACAAGGACTGCTCTGAAAGTAATGCCTTCTATTTTATTATGTTGTCCCTCAATGTTGGAGGCAGATGTTGATGGTAAAACAGCAGAAATTGAGCCTTCCCATCAGTATTCAGTTACATGTTGTTGCTGTGTGACAGATGGCAGCAGAGGAGCATCTGACAAAATTGCATCTAATACAGAAGTGCAGATGAAGAAAAGGTGTAGATTTGAACTCCTATGTGCAGAAAAAATGGAACACATTAACATTCATTGACATTTGCTGAATGTTTATGTAGACCAAACAGTGGATGTGAATACAGTGAGACAGTGGGTGGTGCATTTCAGTAGTGGCAACAGCGACATGAAATAGAATCCATGCTTGGATGGCCATGCAAATTTTTATCAGCACAGCATGTAGGCTCTTGCTCATCACTGATGAAAATGCTGGGCTAATGGTGGTGACTATGTTAAAAAAACATTGTTTTGTAGCTGAGAATTTGTTCTATCAAATAATGTTATTATGTGTTTTGTGAATAATGTTGGTTCCATGGAAATAAATAGGATGCATTACTTTTAGAATGACCTAAACGTTTCTCTTGCTTGGATTACGTTTGGGGTTTGTGTCAGGTAAGCAAAGCAGGTTTGAATTTAATCCTAATGATTTTAAGGGCCAATTGAAACTTCAGAAGTCAATCCAATCCCAAAGTGAATTAAGAGATGTGCCATTTGTGGATTAGATTATCTCCAGAGGTCCCTCCCAACCTCAAGCATTCTGTGATTCTGTGAAAATGAGCTCTTAATCCTTTTTCTCTAGGCAGAGAAGTTACCAACTTTAATTTACCAAGGCTTGAGTGACGAGACCAAAACATCTCCTACTTCTGACAAATACGTTTCTGTCATCTGCAGTGGAAGAAACAGCAGGGAGAGTCATTTAAAACAAATGCAAAAAAAGGAAGCTCAAATTCAAAAACCCATCAGAAACCAAAGGAAAGAAAATGTAGGCCTTCTTTCTAAGGCTAGCCAGAAGTTGGCTTTATCAAAGCAATTTTATTTTTTTTTTTTTTGGTGCTTGCATCATCAGTTCTTCTATAATAGGATTGTGATTGACAGATTCTTGCGGGAATATCCAAGAATACTGCTAACGTACAGTTTTGTAATAGCAGACTGCAATCAGAGCCTGAACTCAAGTCGTTGTTGTTTATGACTGTGAGCCAGAAGCCCTGGAATCCTTATTTAAGAAGAGCTGAAGATTTTGTGGCATACTTCTGGCAACAATACTGCAACAGAGGTATATCTTCAAAACTCCGTTGGCAAACGTTGTAACATTTGTGGTAGTCACTTGACAATGGAAAACCTTTGGATGAATTTTCAGTTCGTAAATAAAACAAAAAGGGCTCATACTTACACCATCGTGGCTGCTGAACCTGGCCATTTGTATAATGTTCCCGCTTGCAACAGCATTCCTTAAGATGAGCAGTCCATCATTATGGAACAAACACATAATTATGGTTACAGAGTTGTTTTGACAATATTTCCAACATTATTGCAACCTGCTCCATATTTTTTTTTACATCAGATGATCTCAGAAATGTCACAAGTGACATATTTTGTAAACATATTGAGTTCTTTTCTTATCTAGAAAATAAGACTGATCCAGTGGTATTTATGACAGTTACTAAAACTGATTTTACTGACTTATCTGTACACTAGCATCAATGCTAGTGGCTGACTTCTAGACTACAGAGGACTCGTGATCTTAGTAATTTTGAGTTTGTGAAAGACATTACTACACTAATCTTGTATGTCAGAATTACCCAGGTGTATGGGAACTGCTGAGTCACGGCCTGAACCTCTGATTGATCACCTGAGATGAGCCATGAGTCAGCCAGAGGAGCACAGGTGAAGGCCATTCACCTGTGCTGCCGGAAGGGGTGGAGCCAGGCTCCATCCTTCCTAGACCTATTTAAGAGCTGGTTACCAGTGGGGAAGGATCTCTTCTGGAGATTGCCTCTATTGGTGTTTTGTGGTGAGCCTAGCCTAAGGGTAAGCTAGCCTAAGGGTAAGCCTTCCATTTTATTCTCTTTTGTTATCATAGTCCACTTTGCCTAATTCTCTTGATTATATTGTGATTGTAACATCTTGATATCCATTGATTATACACCAGGGTACTCAGTACACTACCTCTACTAGTATAAATAATTTAAATAATAAATAATTCAGTATATATAGAAATATATCCAGGGTATTTTTTTATAGCCATCATGAATCTATGTGTATTATTTTTATTTGTTCTTGTAATCTTACAACTCCCATTCATGTACTTCTGGATTTTAACACTGTAAGACACTTGCTCTTTGTATATAGGCCACTAATCTTGTTTCCTGACACAAAATTTTCTTTTTTTTTTTTTTTTTTTAAGTGAGTTAAAAGTAATCAAAGTTCTGGATGGTAGTCTACTGTGAAATTCCAAACTTAAAGACCTCCCTGATGAAACCGAGGTCTTATTGCAAATTGTAATGGCATAACAGGGAAGAAACTTCTTTTCTGGAAGGAAATAAGGCTTATTTATTTAAATCTGATTGTGGCTCACAGCTAGTGGTTGGATGTGATTATATCAATTTGCCAAGTCATCACTTGACCTTTGTCCTTTTCCAAGACAAGTTCCAGCCGTTACTGTTAACAAGCTACTCTCCTTTAATTAAAGATGTACTCACAGGCAGCCTTTATACAGAGCCATCCATTTAAATGCCTGAGGTTTCTGTTAGTAAAATATGCTAACTCTTTGGCTTCTTTTCTGAGAAGCTTCACATTCTACAGATATTAGTAGAGCTTCTAGGACTATTAAAATGTAGAAAGCCCCATTGTTCTAAATATCATATAATTTTGAATACTATTTCATTCAAATCAGGCAATGTTGAATGCTGGCCATCAGGAGTTTGTTTACTGTATGTCTAGTCACTCCCTCAGAAGCAGAGATCTGGGATATGGCAAGGTGCTGGTATGGATCTCCACCTCCACTCAAGTAGAAATTTACTTACTAACTTATTGCATACGCCATGCAAATTCAGTCATTTAGAAAACAATCTACTAAAAAATAGAGTGCATCTGTATGAAGTGATGAGTAAGCTTATGGTTGGTGTACTGAAATGTGTCACTCATCTCATGTTACTTTTTGGCAATACATAGATCCTTTCTATTAGAAAAAATAAGATATTTAAAGTTTACTTAATTTTAAGATAACCTAAAACTAATTTAAAACTCAAGACATTTTAAGACACTAACAATACTTCTAATGTAGTAATTTCTGAGCTAAAAATATTCTTCTTGTATCTTTGCTGAATCCATTTGCTGGCTTATTGACTGATAGATTTTGATATACAAGCATACAGGAATACAAAAGTTCCAGTCACGTTATGGCTTTAGTCATGCCACCTGAGCTTATTAAGTCAACTACTTAATCTGGAAACCATATAGTTATTGCTTTGTACTTCTTTGAGAAGAGTTTTGTGAAGATTCAATTGGTGAGTTTCAGGAACATACAATCCAATTGTAGTTTCATCAAAATGCCTTATTCTGTGTTCATGCTGCTATTATAGAGTTGGCACTTGACCAGCTGTATTGATGTCACCCTCACTTCTGCATGCTCTGTATGACCTAGCACGGCCTTCCATGCTTGTTGAAATTTTCCAAGGAGTTATAGACTAAGTGCAGACATACCTTTTCCCTATAGAAAAAAAAAAACAACAACAAAAAAAACATGTAAAGAATACAAAAAATGCACACAGTCAAAAAGGCAGAAAACCAAAGAGGTTGAAGTTGGATGTGAGTAAATGTCAGAAAAGAAGCCTGTTAAAGTCTTACCTGCAAAAGGAAATGTTAGTGAAACAAATCACAGATTGTAAATCATTCTCTGTCAATCTGCAGGAAGAATGCTTTAACTGGATAATTTTTTATATTTAACCTTGTTACAAAGTAATAGCTATATGCTTTATATACATATAAATATTTATATGTACATATAAATATTTTGTGGTAAATCTTCATAAAATATTCCAAGAGTACCAAAATTTCAGAAGTATCTTCAAACGTCAGTAAAATGTTAGATGACATCAGGCAGAAGTCTGAGGGGTCAAGGGGGTGCGAGGAGGAACTTCTTCAGGATTGGTTTTATTTATTATGTTAGAAATTTGCAGACCTCACCTGCAAAGTAAAACTTGGATCAAACTCAAAAGCGAACCTGCAGGACAGTACATATAAACTGCAAGATTGTCCTCAGACAAATGTCCCATGTAAGAGAAAGAAAAACAACATGCAAGGACTCTTGCTTCAGTTCTGGACCTTAGATTATGGCTCTTTGTAGGGCTAACAGATTTTTACTGGGTTAGACTATTTGTTTGAGTACTGGTCATGAGTAGGTGTGTGCCTAAGTTAGCTTTTCAGATATTTATTTCAAAATAAATTGTAGTTAGATGTTGCAGTTTGTCTTTTTTTATATATATAGTTTTTTGTTGGTTTTTTTGTTTGTTTTGTTTTTTTTTTTCCATGTAGCTGTAATACAGTAGTGTGAAAACACCTGGAAGATTTTAAGACATTTCCTTTTATATTAATTTTTCTTAATTGTACCACTTGAAGATCCTTTAGAATGAGAAGATTTGAATGTGTAGTTTGGAAGTTTGTCAAAACTTTGAAGGAAAAATGAAGAATAGGATGCTTCTCACGTAAAGTCAGAATGAAAAAGGTGATAAAATACATGCTATGAACCTACATCTTAATTAGGAAAAAGATTGTGTATTTTAAAGGACAGATGGAAGGAAATATGAGTGAGAGAAGGAAACAGTGGAGCAGTGTCAAATGGCGTAGCTGAGGCGCAATAAAGATGCCTAGCCCAAGCAACAGAAATTTCTTTAGTATTTCTGTAACACGTGGTATTCTTCTGAAAATGTACTAGTCAGAAGCATGACACCCCACAGTGCAGCCTTGTGTAGTCCTAGGGAGGAACTGAGCCTTGTTCAGCTATGTTACCATTACACACTGCCTTGCAGTATTCCATTACAAGAAAGAGTGGAAATTCATTAAAACGCATGGTGGTCCAAAATGTGCACAGAAGGCAGTCACAGAAGGAGTTACTTTTATTAGGAGTAAAATTTTCTGTGTAATATAATATTTCCCAGCATCACTACCAAGAGGGCAAGAAGAATCCAAATGGAAAATGTAACTGCACACTGTGTGCCATATTTGTGTTCAAGTGCACATGCTTGCACTCATTATATACATAGAAAATGGGGGAATTAAGTTAACACATGGGAAATATTCTATATAAGAGGCTTATTAGCAAGGACTACTCAACATCTCTGGAAAAGTTGACAAATTCTGAAGTAATGGTTCAATCTTATTAAAAGATTTTTTTTTTTCAAATTTGCATGCAAGTATTTGGGATTACATAGGAGCATGAAAAAGCCATTGCACTGAAGAGTATAAGCATTTCAAATGCGGGGCTATAATAAAAGACGAAGGGTATAAATGTTTACATCTTCCTACTTCTTGTTTTAGTATGCACATTCTTGCTGACTTACCCACATCCATTCTGTCCATTCTTACTCAACATATGTGTCTTTTTTTATTCTCTAAAGTTACTTACAGGACAGTGGAAGAATGTTAATCATGTTTTTTGGTACATTAATTTTTAACTTTACCTCTTGTTTTCTGAGCAATGTCAATACCAACAATTAAGAATCCTCCATTAAAAGATTTCTTGGCAGTCTCCTACTTTCCAGTATAACCCGCAGCCTTGAAGGCAAATAATTGCCCTATACAGCAAACCACATACTTTTTAATGCAACTCCATCATTGCTGGAAAGCAAATTTGGCAGCAAACTGATTTACAGTTTCATGAAGTCCCAGGAGATTCCCAGGTACATTTGTGCTTCATTATTTATAAAACTTGTTTGATAGATTTGAATGGTAATGCAGTTTTCTGTAAGATTGGGGTTGCTTTTAAGTTCTTGTTTGCAAATCTGCAGTCTGACTTTCGTATTACATTTATGGTAAGCTTTTTGTCCAGCATCAATATGATATTTAGAATGCACATTTTTATATATGAATGACTGGAAAATTTTAGAGGATAAGTTTTATTTAGATTTCATCTCTCATACACCCATAGATTCTGTTATGCTTTGCCCCAAGACTATGCTTAATGTTGTATTGAGATACCTCTGTGCTGAAATCTTTGTTACTCTGGAGTGTTTCAAGGCGATCATTAGTGAAAGTCCAGCAGAAATATTGCCTGGATATGGATGACATATTTCACGTTCCTTATCTATACTGTTTTGTCAGTGGAAGTGATACTGCTTCCTCATGGGCATGTTTCTGTTCTGTTATCTTCCCAGGAAGTGATGAAGGCCTTTTGTATTTGCTGGTGGCAAGTATAGTAAGGAAGTTTCATGAGTACAAAACACAATAGTTAATTTCTACTTATACGAGTAGACTTGGTTTTGGAGCAAGAGAATGTGGCAGCCTTAAGCCTCTGTTTTTCAGATTCAGCCAGCACATAGCTGGAAGATAACTAACATTAATGTCTTATCTCATCACACAAAAAGAAAAACTAGTTGGCCCTAAAGCTTTTTTTTTTTTTTAAGGACTCCATCCCATCTGACTTCTTATCCTAAAAGAGTGAAATAGAGTCTTCTGTCAAGAAAGTTGGAGCAGCTCTTGGACATCATCCAAATAAGGAGGAAAAATATAAATCAGGTCCCCAAAGAGGTAAATACCTTCACATTTTATAGCTTACCTGTCTTATATCACTTTAAGGAAGTCCTGAAATAAGAGTGGATGTGTCCTGATCTAAATAAAGGAGAGGGAGAGATGCAGCAATGTAAGCTGCATCTTGTGTTTTGAGTAAATGTATTGAACAGGATACTGTGAGTGGAAGATTAAAATCTTTCAATCCTTTGCAGATACTTTCATTTAATTAAAAAAAAATCTCTCTACAGCAGCTTGCCCCAGATCACAGATAATTGTATATTTATTCAATGCCTTTTGTCAAACTCAAAGTCCTATTGTATTCAATTCATTATCCTAAGTAGAATGGCTTGTACAGACTTTTTTTTAGAAATGATCTTGCAATAGGACTAAAATTCACAAAAAAATAATTTCTCAGATGTATTCTTATGTAAGTCAAGTTTGTCAAAAATATTAAAAGTTTCCATTTTTATTTCAAAAAAGGTAAATTTTAAAAAATTTGAAGTATGCAAAAATCTACTAGTTACTTCTGAAAATAATAAAATAATAAAGGCCTTGAGCTCATGAATTTGGAAAGCCCTCTTGATCTGAAAGGAGTAAAATTTTCTTTCCAGTGAAGTCAAATGCAAATCTTATTTAGTGCTAAAAGTGTTGACTGAGTCTTCTGCTGTCAGCCTATTTTCAAGGACATTTTAAACACTTGATACAAAAGGCATCCTTGTCTTCCTAGGTATCCTTCCTGAACTGAATATAATATTAAACTTTGTGCTAGGATTCAGTTTTCAAACTACAAGGCATAAAAACCATCAAGATGTACAATTAATCTTGCAAATGGCATGTTAATTCCCTGCCCCTAGCCCTTGCCAGTGGAAATTTTATTGATATATTCATTGGTAACAGTTATTTTCTGTATTTACTTGCCAGCACTTGTCTTTCCTGACTTCAAAGAGACGAGAAGAGTTTTCATAATTCTTTTCTCAGGGCTAAGTACAGGAAATGGGGAATCTATGCACTTTATCAATTTGGCATCTTTGTCACTGTAGCACTAGGGGAGGAAGAAATGCCATGATAGCTAAAACTGAAAGTCCTAGACAAGTAGAAGAGCCAAGAAAGGATAAAAAACAATTCATCCTGACATAAAAGTTTTCTTTTCATTATGATTGTGTTGAGCAGCAGGGGAAAATTGAAGTTTGATGTAAAACTCCAAGCTACAAATTATTAAAGTTGTGCATCAGGAATCAGAATCTGTTTCCATGAAATCAGTTAAAAGAATCTTGACTGTGTATTCCTCAGTGTTGACATGTATACTACTAATAAATAAAAATAATTAATTTTTAAAATATAATTTTCAATATATGTGTATATATATAAATTCCAGAAATACTTAAGTACTCTTAGTAAAAGATTGGTATAACTCTTTAAAACAAGTTGCGAGACTACAAAACAGATGGCGAGACTACTTGAGCTGCTGTGATTTCATTATATTTCTGAATCAAGAATGATATTTAGACAACTATGAACTAAGCTATGAAAATGAAGTCAAGATACCTTCACTATTAGGGCTATTTGTGCTATCATTTGAAATTTCTAGTCTTTTAATTACCATCAGTCTCATCTCACCACACTGAACATTTTATTCCAATTTAGGCTCTCTCAACAGCAACTGAAGAAGGGCAAAAAAAAAATCCATGACCATGAAATAGGCCCTTAGTATCAGAGAGTAAAATTGTCTTCTGAAACAGCTATCTTTCTTTGAATGAGGAGATTGAGATGATTACCTTCAACCAGACAGTTAACTTCTAGACGGCTAAAATTGGAGGGCATAAAAATAACCCTTAGTATATATAAGACAACATAATTCAGAGTTGAGTTTACCCATTTCCTGTTTTTCAGATGATTTATATTACCCACCTAATGCCCCTTCAGCGCTATGTTTGACTTGAGCAATATATTTGCCTAAAGAGGCAAGTAAGGACATTCCAGAATATATCCTGAATAGTTCTTTGTACAAAGTGCTTATTTCCTACTGTGAAATCCTGCATTTCTATATAAATTCTAAATTTAATTAACTCTGTTTCAATACTTTTATCCTTGAAACTTTTATACCCTAGTGGAAATCAATATTTTGCAATAGCATTTTCATGAAGCTTCCTTCAGGGCTTTTTTTTTTTTTTTGTCATATCTTAAGAACTAAAATTAAGTAAGGTTAATCTTTGGTTTTTGATTTCTTATAAAAGAAACCAAATGTGTATATAAACACATTTTGTCAGATTCCTTTACACTTTCCTGAAAGAGATTCCCTCTAATTTAAATTCAAAATGTAATTCAGATAATGCAAACTGTTATTTAAACCAGGTAATTTATGCAAAATGAATATACTGACGCAATCATCTGATACACCATTTTTATATCTCATTAATTCTATACTTCTCTTCATCTTGGGTAATCCAAAAGTTAATGTTGTCTTCCCATAAATAATTTCCTTCTTTTTCACATGTTCTTCAGTAATTTCCTTTATACTACATTTTGAGCCAAGACTCTTTAATGCTGCTCAGTTTCTATATTATGGATATTGTCCTCCATCACTGCATTTCCAAAGATCTGGTTTACTTCCTTCATTTATTTACTTATAGATGTCCTTGAGAACTTTTTACAGTTTGGATTTACAATTTTCTGTATTATCTCCCATAAACACTTCAGAAAGATCTGAATATAGTACAAATGCATAAATAGTTAATTTGCTAATATTAAGGTTCCGTAGAAAAATGATAGATTTCAGTAGGAAAATGCATGTCTTATTGTGCAGAATTTTCCTATTTTCTAGTTTAGAGATGAAAATTTATGAAGTTGTCTGCAAAAGATGTCATCTCAGTGAAGGGTGGTCTATCTGCACATTGATCCAAGGCTGTATGCTGAGGGACACTTAAGGTCAATTAATACAATGAACTGAGTAGAAGAATAAAGATACAAGATGGAGTATCTTTATGTCTGACTATCAAAAATCTTTCAAGATTTGTGAAAATGTAAAAGTTAGAAGAAATCAGCTTCTCCTATAAAGCTTATTACTTCAAAGACAGAAGATGTGTCTGTTCCAAAGAGTTTAAAACCCATATTACACACTTAGCCACCAGACCTTTGAGAATGGGACATATTCCTTGCAGAAACCAAGTCAAAATTCACAGGATGACCCAGGAGTGGAACTGGGTAGTTTAATGTTTAAGGTTTTTTTTTTTCTTCAGGTAGGCAGAGTCTCAGGTACTGGTGCTTTCCCCCCAGCATTATGTGCTCTGTGCAAAGATTGCTTTAAGAAAATATATCATTTTTTTCAGTTACCATTCAGATTCAAGTGTATCTTCCCAGCTAGTGTATAGTAAGAATAATGAGAACAAAAGTTTCTTAACTGAACTATAGAAATTGCCTTCAGTAATGAGCAGCAGCCACTATCTTGTACTGCCAAAGGCTTTCAACTTGATATTGCTGTGAGTTGTGCATCAGTAGCCTTACTGAAATAATCTCAAATTGATGGTAAGTAGTTATGTCCAGGAATGTTAGGGCATGGAGAGTGGGCTGGGTATCACATCTCTATGGGATACAGCATGAAGCACCTCACTGACAAGAACCAAGTCATGTTCCTGAACAGTGCAGGATTAGATATAGAGAAGGAATAAGGCAGCCCTCCTTTGACCAACCTCATACAGAGATGGGATGTAACAGCAAAAGGCAGGTTGCTCTCTGCCAATTCAACTCATCTCCTCCTCTGTGGGCCCAGAGCCTTGGAGAGCCCCAGTGCTCCCAAAATTGTATAAACTGAGCTCTCCCTAGAGTAGGGTTGTGCCTTTGCTGCTCACTGCAGTCTTAACACTTTGGATCTGGACAGAAAATTCAATGCAGGGAGGTCAAAACTAAGCCAATCTGAACTTGAAACCAGGTATATAAACACTGAGGAGATGTAGGGATGGGGGGCAGGGTCTTGAAATTACTGCTGTCATATAAATACATGAAACCCCATAAAAATATTTACAAGACACAGCTAATCTCAAGATAACATTTTTTGGCCCTTGTAAAACTGACTCATCAATATAATGGAGTATATTTTTGGTTACTTTAACTTTCTTTTTTACAGTTAATATTTACCAAGTCTCTGGGGCCTAAATTACCTCACCCTTTTGCTTCAGGTCTACAGCTGCAGTTTCTTGCCTTACCATAGTAACATCTGGAATGCAAAGTTGTGTTTCCTTTTCTGCTAGGAAAATAAAAGAAGCTAAAGTAGCAACTGCTGCCAAGAGACAGATAAATGCCTTTATTAATGATTAATTAATAACTTAAACATATATTAATGGATGAAATGTAGGTGACTTTTAGGTATTTTGGTACTCCAACAGGCAATAAGTCAACTATGGTACCTGGTTTATCTTCAGAATATACGTGCATCTGAGTTTATCAGATTAAAGCAACTAAAATTCTTTTTTTTCAATTGGCTTTCAAAGAGGCTGGTGACTGTAGAATTTTCTCTATTGGAAAGTTCAAAATCTATAGGACATTTGAATTTCATGAAATCAAGTTGAACAGCCAAAAACTAAGATGCTGAAAATCATGAATTCTTATTGAAAATCCTGGCCCCTCTTTATTTAAAGAACTCTTAAACAGAACAAAAAATTGCATCCCTCTCAGCCAGGAATTACATATTTTGAATAATGCCAAGAAATGAGGTATAATAAGATGAAAAGCCTTGTAGGCCTGGAGATGATAGGGCCTGGCTTTGAAACAGCTTCTGTGATCTATCCTGTTATAGTGCCGTATGACTGGAAGGAACTATAAGGAGCAGTCTTTTCCAATAGTTACACAATGACATATTTTTTTATTACTTCTGTTACTATATATGAAAATCACTGTACCCATAATGTCATTCAGTATTTCTGGGGTAGAAATTATTCTCCTATTTTATCCTTGAGTGCAGGAGTGTAACTAACTGCTCTTTTTCTTTTGGCAACACTGCTATTACTCAGTTATAAAGACAAAACTTGGACACATAGTGAGTGCTGATATCAGATGACAGTACCAGATTCCTAGGAGTATAAAATATTGCTAATTATTTACCTAGTCTCAGAATTTAAGAAGGGGCAATGACATATATTACTGTGTTAGAGGATCTCTAACTGTTCTAATAGATCATGAGGTTTGCTGGAAGAATAATGGAGAAAGTTGTATTATCTTTGAAGTTATTTCAGCTCCTTTAGAACTTGGACTACACACCTCCCCTCATTATGTAAACTACAGATTCCTCAAAGCCAGAAGGGAACAGTGCAAGGTTGAAGAAGCTCAGCAAATAAAGTTTGCGTATAGAATTCAATAACTTTCTTTAACTACAAGGGGGCCAACGCCTTCAGTAGGCAATGCAGTGGAGTAAATTCATGTAGCTAAGCTCTCACGTCATCACATCTCCTGATATTATCTCTTGGATGGATATTGCTCTCAGTGAACAACGGGTATCTGCTGTTTTTGTAATTCTGTTTTTGGCATAGTAAATTTGCAAACTGGTATATAAAGACAAACTAAAATGGAAGTCAGATTGGACTGGAAATTGAAGGGCTCCAAGATCTGATATGTTCTTGACTCCAAGGCAACAGCATTTTTCAGTGGAACAAGGTAGACAACTGCAAGCAGCAAGAGAATCTAGATTTAACTTATTACCTCATGTCTGTTTGAATTTTTTTTCTTTTTATTTCTGTCTTTGACTTTACTTTGTATTAATCAGAACCAACTCCAACACAAATTCCTATGTTGACAGCTCAGTGATGGCAACTGTGAAGTAAATGGGAAATACATAATGACTTGTTATAAAAACTGCATCACAACATTAGAAAAACTCTTAAATATGTATGCCTTGAGTCAAGAATGTCAGTGAGACCATACTGTCGGTCCTCTTCATTTTTATCCACCATGAAAACTAGCATGAGAAAGTGGTTTCACAAAGCAGTTAAATAGATTTCAACATTCCTTTGACAGAAAGAATGCCAAAGAGTTGTTTTAGCACACCAGCTTCTTTCACATTATATCCTTTTAGTAATATCCTTTTAGTAGCATCAGGTAGGAGAGGAATGGATAATGAAAGCTTACACTGCCGAACTAGGACCTCATACATGATATTAGCAGAGCAACTTTGATCTAGAGGAAAAAAAAAGAAAGAAAAAAAAAAATGTGGTTAAGGGGAAGGATTTTTTCAATTAATAATTTAAAAATAAGTAATATGTCATTGCATAAAGATGAATAAAATCTAGAATTAATAAGATAGAACAGAATTTAGTGTCCCTACTCTAAGTACTGAACATTTACATATGCCTGCCAACAAGTAGAGAGTGAAGCAAACTCTGCTATCAATACTAAGTCAGCTGGATCAGATCACTCTTCTACAGTAAACATCTTGTATTGAACATAATTAGCTGTGATGTTTACAGTACTGCCAGTGACAGTGTAATTCAGATTAGTCTATATTTTGATTGCCAAAACTGTTAAAGCATTTATTCTGTATGGTAACAAATTTTAGGTTTGGGAGGGGGGATACAGAAATCTCAGTATATCAAATTGTGCATCCTATTTTAAGGCAATACTGGGTTAGAACATTCTTGTTTTGGGCATACAGCATATGATCCTATTTCTACTGGAGCTGAAAGCAAAAGCAAAACAAAATCATTCTGATTTCAGTTCAAGCAGAACACAGTTCATGCTTGGTGGACATGTCTATAGATATCAGCTGACTGAAGCTCTGCCACGTATTATTATTCACCAGCTAATCTAGATCATCAGAATTCCATGAAATCATTCAGCCTCAGAACACTTCTTTACAATTATTTTAGATAAAACACAAAGCAGACAACTGAAAATTTTATTCAAATAATTCAGAGGAAATTGAAGAGCAAACACTGGAATAATATGGAGCTGGGTAAAGCCACCAGGCTGCTAGACTTTCACTGGACCATGGATGTTCCTCACCACTAGACACAAGGAAAAGAATCTCCTGTTTCTTAACTCTTGTCTTGCTGTTTGGAAATCTCACTGGTGAGTTCTTAGTTGAGCTCCTAGATTACACACTCAGTCCTAAAATATGTTCTTACTAGTTTCTGGTTTTCCTGACTAATTGTTGGATAGATAGTTCCTTCCTTTTTCTAAATTCTCTTTTTACTAAGGTGTTCAGTTCATGAAACTTCACCAGTGGAATAGGTCTGTGATGCAGAACAGCCCTGTTTCTCTCCATGGTCCTCTTTACACTGGATTCTTATCTTTGTCCCTTGTGTCTCAGAATTATGATAGAGGCTTTGATTACATGGCCATTTAGCACTGGGCAATGGCCAAATATTTATCTTACAGATATGAGCTAACTAGGCCAGAAGCACAAGCATGTTTCCTATGCTGATTTCAGTAAGTTATCAGATTGCACAGGTAAACAGACATCCAGAAGTTTCCCTATCAGAAAGTTCTATCTTAATTCATTTTCACAAGGGATATCAGATAAGGTAGTATAGGAGGAAAGATGCAAGAGCTCTGGTAAGAGAAGAGAAAAAACAAGGGGTCTGAGATTGAAAATAATGTTACTTTGAATTTTCTGACCTATTCTGACAGACTGCATTCTAAATATTTCATTTTTTACTCATATAGGATTCAAATTCCTTGCTTTTGCTTTATTTTCAAGAAAATAAAATTTAAAGATTATAGGAGAAAAGGAAATCATAGAATCATTGAATGGTTTGGGTTGGAAGGGACCCAAAGGATCATCAAGTTCCAACCCCCTGCCACAGGCAGGGCCACCAACCTCCAGATCTGGTACTAGATCATGTTGCTCAGGGCCCCATCCAGCCTGGTCTTAAAAACTTTCAGGGAGGAAGCATCCACAACACTCTCTGTTTCAGCATCTCACCACTCTCCCTGTAAAGATCTTCCCTCTGACTCCAAAAGAGAGAAGCAAAACAAGGAAAAGGAAGCAAAAGGTGGTAACTTCCTACAAGTCCATCTTTACTGGAACTATGGAATTCTTATTTAAATTGCAGCCTCTTTTGTTTGTTTTTTTTCCTCATCTACAAGAATTATTCAGTAAGTAGCACCATAATCAAATAAAGACATAATTGCAAGTTCTGGTGAACACTATGTCCAAGTTATAAATGAATTCAGTGAATACAATATTCAATTAATATAACCTGTTACTAAACAAGCCATCTTTTGAAATTTTAAGATTTATATCTTTGCCTATGCAAAATATATTTGCATGTAATAAAATTATAAAAATAACAAGGTAAATTATAATAATCTGTAGGCAACACAGAACCATGCTGATTGGTCTTTTCCCTGA